CGCCAGGGGGCGCTGGGCGCTCTTTCATCATGTGACCACCGCCTCTCACCTTGCGGGCTCCCACGGCGGAGGCGGGACCTGGGGTCGGGATTGGCTGGGTCTTGGGGGCGCGTCCGAGCAGCACCAACTTCGTGAGCTACTGCTTCGGCTTGTGGGGATCCGCCGCAGCTGCGAGGCCGGCTCAAGGGTCTAGGGTGCGGAGTGGGAGCCGCCTGTGCAGGAGAGGGCGGGGCAAGGGGCGTCTTTCTACTGCACTTTCTCTTTGCATTCATGAGATTGCCTAGCTGTGCTTTAGAGAGGCTTGCATTAGCCCCGAGTCGGTCTGACAAGAGAGGAAAATGAGGCCAAGAAGTGGGAGGCGTTGCCATCTGCCGGGCCAACTTGCTAAGGCGAGGCCGTGGACCAAGCTCTGGGGCTCTGCGCTCCCAGGCCCGCTTGAGTAGGTGGGCGTGGGGAACAAGGGCGCGCCTGCTTTCTCTGCACCCCACTGTACCTCTTAGCGCTGCAGGAAGCTCCCTGGAGGAGGAGCTCGGGACGTGGAGGAGGAGCCAGGCAGCCACAGGGAGCGGGAACACAATCCTGCAGGATAAAAGCCAGCCCAGGAGGAACCCCTGCAGCAGGGCGAGCAGAAGGCTCCCGGAGCGGCCTTATGGAACAGAAGCAGATCCTGTGTGTGGGGCTGGTGGTGCTGGACATCATCAATGTGGTGGACAAGTACCCAGAGGAGGACACGGACAGCAGGTAGGGGCGCCCGGGCCCCTTGAAAACCCCAGGGGTCGCTGCAGCCCCGTGTTTGTGCTTGGTGGCCAAGACTACAGGGCTGCAGAGCCAGGGGCCCCCATGACCTCTGACCCAAACCTGGGGAAATAAGTGAGGCTTTTAGTGAGGCCTTCATACCCAGGCTTCGGATAGCATTGTGTTCGCCAGTTCTCATTTCATCTCTGGGACTGTATCAAGTATGATTATCCCCAATATACCCATGAGCAAGTAGAGACTCAGAGGCAAAGTGATTTATCCAAGGGCTCGCAATTAGTACCCACAGGACCAATTTCTTTTTTAACAACAAAACCTATGCACTTGCCTCTCACCAGCATTTATTTCTAATTTATTTTATATATGTATGTATGTGTGTGTGTGTGTGTATAATCTATTTCTTTTTAAAAATTGAGGTATCCTACAGTAAGAAGTATGTAGAGTTAGACTGTTCAAGAACATTTAAAGCCATGGTATTTGAGTTCACTGTATAGCTCAGGGCTTGGCCCGCACTGGAGGCGACTTTGAAGATGCTGCGGGTTATGGATAGAGCTCGTTCATGTGCCACCACATCTTTTCTCCAGTGCTAAATTCCAAAGGGAGTTTCCAAGAAGTCCTTTTTACAAAAGTCAGTGGGCAATATAATGGAAAACATCCTTCTCAGTCATCTGGTAGAAGTTGAACGGTCATTTGTTTGTTCTTATATTTACTCTTGATAAGACCCACACCGTTACACTGTAATCTCAAGAAGGCATTTCTGTGAGTGGAATATCGATCTTTCTCTTGGTGAAGTCCAGCAATTAAAATTCCGAGAAGAATCGCTCCTTGGCTATCAGTTATCTCAGCCAAAAACTGATTAAAAGGCTAGTTCAAGATTGTGCTCAATGAGGCACTGCTGTGCTGATATCCATGAGGTTAATTGAGGGGAGAGACCTGACATTCCTTAGGCTTTGGGTTCATCCAGCACTGTTACGTGTGTTGTCATATATTTTCCTCACAGCAGCCCATGGGAAGTGTGTGAAGATCAGTCAAATTCTTTCTTTATAGATGAGGAAAATGTGGAGAAATTAAATGGTTTTTGTAAGGCCACACTGTTAATGAGTGGCAGAGCAGTAATCACATCCCAGGCCTCTTAATTCTGAGTCTAGTGCTCCAGCCCTCCGTCGTCTCCTGTGCTCCCTGTCCTGTTGCTGCTGCCCAGCTCATGGAGCTGACCCTTTGCTTTGGACTACTTAGTTTGCCAGAGGTAGACCCTCTTACCAGAGGTGCAGGGGCAGCGGAGGAGAGACACAGGGTGTGCCCACCTATTGAGGTCAAGGACACAGTACACAGTGAGGAGTTAGGAGAACAGTGCACATTCTGGGGCCTCAGGTCCTCTAAGGACAGTGGAGGGCTGGAGAAGACCCAGAGTGCCTCTTTCCACTAGAACCGCAGCCCCATTCCTTTGAGCTTACTTATGTCAGCTAGCTCCCACCTTGACTGGGGCTGGTTCTGAAGGTGAGCACGAAGCCAGGCACCTCTCTAAAGAGACCCTTCCCATGTTGTCAGTACTCCCTGCCTTCCAGCCTACACCTCCCCCACCCTCAGACCCATGGCTCTGCTCCGCTGTAGAGCACTTTGGTCGTCCATAGGGCCTCATCTCCTGTGCTCCCGCCCCACCCAGCCCAGCTCCTAGACTCTATTGTGCCTCCCAGTTGAGCAAGTCTGAGTGGGGACCCAGTCCTTCACAGCCATCTCAGCCCCACCTGTCCCAGGCACTCTGTGCTCCACAGGCAGCTGGGGACTCTCAGGAGCTGCCACCTGGTACTCAGCCAGACCCCTGAGGAATGGCCCTGCCTCCCAGAGTCCAGGCTGAGAAGAGCCTTCCAGAAAACATCGTTATGCTCAGTAGAACCTTTCTGCACAGGAAGTTGGGTATTGGTGTGATTTTGAAAGAGTTCCAGAGAGTAATGTTGTGTACCCTTTGTTTGAAACTTCATCCAAGCTGCGGTCTAACTATTGTCCATTAAAAAATACAGAGTACATTGTAGGAGTTTCAAAGTCAGGAAAACTGGGTTCTAATATCATCAGCTTTGTCATTAACTATTGGTGTGATCTTGAGCAAGCTAAATCCCTCTAGGCTCCTCCTCTCTTCTCTGCATGAACATTTCTCTTAAGCTCATAGCTTAAGAAATGTTTGTCCCTTTACAAATTAGTATACTTCTTTCCATTGAGATCATGGTACCCTTTTCCCAAGGCCGAAGGGGAAGTTTACGGTTAGGTTTTGTGTACAAATATATCTTAGTCTACAAATTCTGCTTCATTTATTGCTTTTAAGTAGTGGTTCTGTGGTACTTGTTCCTCTTATTATAAGCTGCCACAGTTATTATTGTTACTCTTTTTTACACTGAGAATAGAAATAACAGCCTGCAGTGTTTACCTCACAGTATTATTAGAGCACAAATGAGGAATCATTAAAGTACTCTGACTATGGATACATGTTATCATTTCTGTTGTTGATGACAATGAAGTTATACAGGTGTATCTCGAGTTAGTTTCCTCATTAGACTTTCCATAAAGATGGAGAAAAACTAAAGAAAAAAAGGTAATTATATGATGTGATGCATGTGTCAACTAACCTTATTGTAGTAATCATTTCACAATATATATGTGTGTGTGTGTATATATATGTCTCGAATCATTACGTTGTGCATTTCAAACTTACAGAATGTTATATGTCAATTATATTTCAGTAAAGCTGGGGAAAAAAAGAAACAAACAAACAAAAAAGATGGAGAAAAACTGGTCTTCACCCAATAATCTTTTTTAACTTTTGATATAGTAAAAGTTAACTCCCCCCAACCCTCACTTCTTAAATGATCACAATGTTGGGGTTCACTTCCTGTCCTATCATTTTAACCTGAATTATTATTTAAGCCCTGAGACAGGAGCAGGTAGTAGATTTGACACCTTTGGGAAGCGGCACTTAGAGTTATCCAGCTCTCAAGGAGAGAGGTGGGCCATTGTAACTGAGAAGGATGTAACCCAGAGGGAGTAGAACCCTCTAATTGTGATGGACCTGAGTGAGTGCTTTCCTAATGTCATAAGAACAGGTGGAAGATAGAAATTAATCACTGCAAACCTGAATTTAGCCTAGGCTGGGGTGACAGACCTGGTCGTCAGCCTAGCCACCGCCCTTTGCTGGGCCTTAGCTGCCCATCTAGAAAATGAGAAGACTAGCCTGGGTGCTTTCTAAAGGAGTTCTCCCAGCTTTCCGTTCCATGGCCCTTCCCAGGGCCCTGAGGTCATCCCTGCTTATCCCGGAATCAGCCCGCTGGAGCTGCAGGGACCGTCCTTGTGTTTTGCAGGTGCTTGTCCCAGAGATGGCAGCGTGGAGGCAATGCGTCCAACTCCTGCACCATTCTCTCCCTGCTGGGAGCCCCCTGTGCCTTCATGGGCTCTCTGGCCCCTGGCCACGCTGCTGAGTGAGTTGAGGAGGGAGCAGGGGAGGCCTGCCAGCAGGGTGGGGGGAGAAGGAAGTCTTAACCCTGGGCGGGTGGGCTATAAGAAATGATTGTGGCCACCAGAAATGGGTGGGAGGTGGCGGAGACGAGAGCCAGCATCCCAGGCCCTCCCTGGTGTGGTTTATCTGCTGCTCAGGTGTTAATGTTCGTCCTGTTAAAAGGTTTCACTTCCACAGCCTGTTTCCTTGGCCACTCCCTGGAGCCTGCTGCAGCTTCCTCACCTTCTTCCTTGCTTCCAACAGACTCTGTGGTGGATGTGACTTTGCCCTTCTTAAGTCCCTCATCCTGGCTGTGCTTGAGGCGGAAGGCAGTTAGGGACATACTGTATCTGCTCTCCCTCAGGGATGTCCAGCATCCATGATCCGAGAGTTCAGGCCTGCAGTTTCTTTCCCAGTTGAGGGGGCAGGGCCAGTGCTGATGTCCCCATTATTCCTGAAGCAGCAAAAACACCCTGGCCAAGGACATGTACTCAAACCGGGCCCAGACCCATGCCTCCCAGCTCACCGGCTCTGAGGCTGCAGCTTGTAAGTGGCCAATACGCTTTTTCCATGTTGGCTGCTGCAGGAACCTAAGAGCCCTTTGACCCCATGTTGGCTGCCTCAGGGACCCAAGAGCCCTTTGACCCCAACTCAGCACGCGCTTATCAGGAGGTGAGGTCCACACTTTGCCCACTGTGGGACTGAGGCAGGCTGCCAGGTTGCTGGCCTGTGAAGCACAGCCCTTTGAACCCTAGTCTGAGGGGGCCTGCTGCCAGAGTCCAGCCCCCTGAGCTGCAGCCAGATGACCTTCCTTGATGAACTGGCACTAAGCGAATCTAGGGACGAGAGCCTGCCCTATGAGATGGAACAGAGAGACCTGGAGCCAGCAGCTTGTTGCTTGTTAACCTTTTTCAGCAGCTGCCTTTCCTCCCAACTAGAAGCAAGATTGGCTATTAAGGTAGTGGGCCCACCTTGATGTAATAATCATGCCGATGGGTGGCCGTTCCAAATTTTCCCCATGACAAACATTCAATAAGCACCTGCCATGTACTGGGCATTGTGGGTGCAAAAAGTTATTTGGCATACCAAACCGTATTTTCTACGCTGTGGGAAAGCTACTATTTAAGGGATTCTTGAGGTGTAAGACAAAGACAGATGTCCTGACTTTGTGTGTGTGTGTGTGTGTGTGTGTGTGTGTGTGTGTGTGTGTGAGAGAGAGAGAGAGAGAGAGAGAGAGAGAGAGAGAGACAGACAGAGAGATGAGGTGCCCACTATGTCCTGCCCTCAACAGCCCTGCTCAGCTCCTGCAGACTCCTGCCTACGGCTTCTTTCATGGAGTCAGTCCACTTCATATTTGGTCTTCCCCTTTTCCTGCTGCCTTCTATTTTTCCCAGCATTATTGTCTTTTCACTTTTATACAAATCTATATTGCCCAGCTATGGCATTGCCATAAGTGGGGTCCAGCCATAGTGAGAAAAGCCAGGATGATGTTTGGATGACTGGCATAAGTGCCAGCTCCTGGGCACAAGATGGCTGTTTCCAGAGATGGCCAGGAGGGGCGGGGCCGGCCTCCTTGTTCTGCTGGTGCAGTCTTCCTGCACCCTGCCCACTGTGATTGGAGGGATCCTCAGCAAGAGTTCTGAACCAGGCCCCTACTGAGAGGCATCAGGCACTGGGATCCAGCTCACTGCCTTGGAGGGTCTGCCACCCAGGAGAGGAGAGGGCAGTGAGCAGGCCCACCAAGGCAGCAAGATGCTCCAAGGCATCACGGAGGCAGGTGTAGAACGAGGGGACTCATGTTAGGACTGGAAGGGACTTCAGAGAGAAGAGTGCCAAGGGATGAGCGTGCAGAAGGCAGCTGGGGGACAAAGTATCACCTTGGTAATTATTAATTCTGCCTTGGCTTTGCATGAAACCAGGTCACAGTGACTTCACCTGCTTGTTTCAAACAGGGTACATGTTCTAGGCCCCAGAGCTACCCCAGCTAGCTTTATGAACATGAGCAAATCCTTTCCAGCTTGAGTCAAACTGAAAGACAGTGTCAGGGTTGGAGTTTGTTTCAGTCAGGACCTAAAAGAATGTCCCTTAGTGTCTTTCTTGCCAGCCTATGCACTCCTGCCTCTCCTGCCTCCTTGCACAGCCAGTGATTTCCAGCCCCCTCCTCGCCCCTCCTGCTTGTACCCTGGGTCCCTAGTGGCCTTGCCAGCTACTCTCCGGTGCCCAAAACTTTGTCGAACTATGCCACCCCCGGGTTACTCCACCCTGGCAGTTTTGTCCTGGATGACCTCCGTCGCTATTCCGTGGACCTACGCTACACGGTCTCTCAGACCACGGGCTCCGTCCCCATCTCCACAGTCATCATCAATGAGGCCAGTGGTAGCCGCACCATCCTACATGCCAACAGGTTTGTACACCTGTCTGCACGTTGCCAGCTGCCGCCGCCTTTGCTGAACCCCCAGGACAGGACTCTTCTCTCAGAAGTGGGGTGCTCAGCACCCACGTGATCCAGCACCCTTCTCTACCCCTGAGGAAGGTCCAGGCCACTTATAGCCTCTAATTTGTGTTTCCTTGCCCCTCCCTTGGCTCGGGCTCCACCCCAAGTTTCCTGGTGGCTGACTTCAGGAAACGGGGTGTGGACGTGTCTCAGGTGGCCTGGCAGAGCTGGGGAGAGACCCCGTGCTCTTGCTGCATCGTCAACAACTCCAGTGGCTCCCGTACCATTGTGCTCTATGACACGTAAGGCCCCCTGGCCTCACCCTGCCACACCCACCAATCAGTTCCCTTACTTGCCACCATGGGCATCCCAATTGCCTACTCTCTGTGGCCCCTCTCTTTATATCAGAAATTGTCCCTATGCCAAACTGCTCAGTGATTTCTGAATTGTTTTCAATTAGGGGAGAAGTGAGGTGGGAAGGGGTGGGCTTTGCTCTGCCTGGCAACTTGGCCTTCAGCATCAAGGACTGGCAGGCAGGCCTGTACAAAATGTAATTTACGATGTGATTCTTCCATAATTAGTCAATCAGCAGCCTGGGTGTGGGTGTGGGGAAATTGTTCTGAGGATAGAGGGATGGGGGATGTGATTCAAACCATCTTAAGCCCTGAAGGGGGCCCAGTGGCATTTCCAGGGCCAGCCCCAGAGTTGCCAGCCTGCAGCATGGCACCAAGGAGCTGGGGGTTAGGGTGTTCAAAAGATAAGCTGCCGCAGAGGTCCCAGCATAATGAAGGCAGACCAAACACCACACAGACAGAAGGGGAACACTGGGTCAGCAGATCAGGGTCATCTGATGTGGCACTAACCTGAGGAGAGGGAAATCCTTTTAGGGTCCGAGCTCCTTAGGAGAGGCCCTGTGGGTGCAGACCCTTCTCATCTTCCCAATTCCTTCCTGAAGAATCTGAGGTTTGGTTTCCTAAGAACTCAGGTGTGCCAGGTACTATATCAGAGTTGAAATGGTCCAAACTCAGCTGCTCTTGGGTTCAGGCCATCCCTACTGCCCAGCATGACCACTGAACCTGGGGGAGAGGGACAGTCATCTGCGGACAAGCTTATGGCCAATGATCCCTGGACTATGTCCCAATGAATGAGTGGGTGGGCATACATGCTAGTGGCAACCTTCGCATTGGGCAAAATCCTAGTTATCTGCCCATTAAGCAACAACCTGTAGCGACTTTGATCAAGGACACAACATGGGTATTCACAGAAAGGGAGGGAGAGGAGCAATGAGATGTTTATTGCCTACTGGCCTCAGTCCAAGCATATCCACACATATTACCTCCAAGTACAACAGGCCTGTGAGGCTGGGGGTTTTGGCCCCATTTACCAGTGGGGAAAGCAGCCTGAGAAAGGCCCAGGTCACACAGCTAGTTAAGCAGGTGAAGGATTCACTAACAAAATACAGAGGGGAGAACATCTGCCGTGTTTAGGTCTCTGGCCAAGGAGGGTCAAGGCGGACCATTTTTTGGTCTCCACCATAAATGAGCCAAACATAAACTTGTCCTCAAGCATCAACCTTAACCTCTGGGTTGCAACACACAGCTGTCAAACTCAGGACAGTGGTGCTGTCACCACTGGGGTGCCAGAAGTGAATGGGACCAGACCTGAGCTCCAAGCAGAGCAGCCATGACCTTTGTAGTTTCCCAGGGCACTGCATGCTGGGAGAGGTGTGTGCGCGCGCGCACGCGCGCACGTCCGTGCTGGCAAGGAGAACTCTGGGAATTGTAGTCTTTGATGTTCTTAGGGCATTCCGGGAGACGCGGTCTCCAGGGCACACAGTCCTGGCCCCTTGGCACATGCTGCAGTTTTGTTTGCTCTTAGATACTATCACATCCTCAAATATAGGTGGGGGCACCCTAGCAAACTACCTCTATTTCCCTGTCTGGATGAAGCCAAACGGGGCAAGGAATAGTTGTGCGTTTAGCCTGGGACAGGGTCTGTCCTGGAGCTGAGCCTCAGAAGCTTATGCTGTAGATCCAGCCTCCTGCCATGCTGCAGACAATGCCAGGCATAGGGGCCCCAGCAGCCCATCGGAGATCCTGGCCCTGGCCAACTTCACCATGCCCCTTCTTCTCTGTCCTTCTACCCTGTGACTCAGGAACCTGCCAGATGTGTCTGCTATGGACTTTGAGAAGGTTGATCTGAACCGGTTCAAGTGGATCCACATTGAGGCAAGCCCCGCCCTACCTGTATTTGGAGGGGCTCAAGCTGCCAGCCCCTCCTCGTGTTTTGCCTCCTTGGTTTCTTTGAGCCATGAAGTACCTTAGAGATCAATGACTCAACCCCTCTCATCCTTTCTCTATCCTTCCTTAAGTTTTCAGGTAGGAAACTAAGACCCACAAAGACTGGGTGACTTACTCTAGATTGTATAGCAGAATGTAGGCACTGGAAGCAGGATGCTGGATCCAGGCAAAGTGCTCTCTGTGTTACAGGCTGCCTCACCTCCTCCAGACTCCAGCAGGAGCCTAGCCGCAGGAGGCCTGACCCATTACCTCTGGGGAAGCAGG